ACACAACTGGATACTGCCATAGGAAGGGATAAATAATATTATAACCAAATCAATAGATTTGTGTGAGACAGAATTTTTGATCTCACACTACCCATTTAACGATATGTTTTCAGGGTAGGTAACTTCGGTAACTCTACATAGTAGAGAACATGGGAGAAACCTACCCCTTTTAATGACATGTTTTTGGATATATTAGGGTAGATAAATGCATTAATGTATATAAGAAAAAAAAACGCAAAAGTCTACCATTCGACGATATGTTTTCAGTAGGTAGCATCAGATTTATTCATAGTTATATATCCGCCTTCCTATATATTTAGTCAAAGTTAACCCACTTTTTTTGCAACTTACAGCATACACAATAGCAATTACGTATTATAGATCGCAAACATAATCGATAGCATAACCAGATAGCGTGTATATAATGTGTCTAGATATCATTTACTCAATAGCATTCACGTGATTATTTTTTTGTCACTTGTTTTATATCGGGTTTTTGAACATTTAATCGAAGTTTATCATAATGCCTTCTAATATGCGATAGGCATTGACCAGAAGTTGAAAAGGTCAATTTACCACATACTTTACATGGTATGCTTCTTGTAGTTTTCCAATGACTACATTCCTCAGGTATTCAACTGCTTCCTCTACAAATTTCACCGGGCTCATGACCGAATAGACAAGTACAATCATCAGACATTTTTTATTATATTAAAATACAAATCTTCAGATAATCAAAATATAATAGCCCTCACATTGGGCCAGCAAATAACAATATGTGATTGAATGCATTGTTGGTACCATCAAACTGGCAATCAAGTCAATCCGGTAGCATAACCTACCTCAGTTATTTTATTACAATGGAAATCTGTTACGCTCACCAAACAAGCATACAAGGTCAAAATAAGCATTTTCCTGGAGTGCTACTTATAGGTGATCGTCCACACATGTTGACAATGATCATGAATGTTACATGGCGGAGACTGAAAATGCAGAAATCGGTCAAGATCGCTAAGCTGACATGCGATATCAAATGACACATAAAATGTATTTGACCCATCAAACTCGCGATAAAGCCAACCCGGTAGCATAACCTAGCTCAGTTATTTTATTGGGCGGAAATCAATTGGAAACATTAAGCTGATATATGAAATTTAATATAAAATCTGACCCATAACTTGAATGACGAGGCAAATGCGAAACGTTCATCACTCGAATGATGAGGCAAATGCAAAACTCACGTCACTCGAATGACGAGGCAAACGCAAAACGTTCGTCATCCGATAAGCAGACTATAAACGTCTCATCTTTGACGAGGCAAATGCAAAACGTACGTCACTCGAATGATGAGGCAAATGCAAAACGTATGTCACTCGAATGACGAGGCAAATGCAAAATGTATGTCACACCTGAGATTATTATAGTCTAATCTAAGTCGTTTTGAGTTTATATAAACTCAAAACAACTTAAGTGTTTTAAGGATGGTGGTGGTTCCTCAAGAATCCTGGCAGGAATTCAACTATATTTTGGACAATAACCAGTTATAGTGGCCAAATGTGATCAATAAATATTTAATTTAAGTTTGAAAATACTGAAAATATAATGTTTTATTAATATGATTTAGGCCATGGTTGGCAAATTTATTGGTCCATTGAGAACTGGCAGACTTCGGACTGGTCCATTGCCATTAATAAAACACTAAATTTGGTTAAAATGTTACCAATGGACCACCGATGGACTACAGTCGGCGCTCGATATAGTGAAGTTTGGCTAGTACAAATTTGAAAACTATCTTCTGAAAAATTGAATTTGATTGGATAATAACGCAGATAGTTTCCAAATTGTACTAGCCAAAACTCACTATATTGAGCGCCGACTGTACACATTTGCCAACCTTGACTTAGGCTGATAAAGTATCTGTGTGCTTTCAGTAAGAATAATCGATAAACTGAGAGAACTTTGGATGGGTTGATATTAATCCCCTAGAAACTGAAGATGCATCAAAGTGCATATCAAAGACTAAAAGCGGCAAGAATTTGTTGTTGATCATTTATAACTATTTGTTGATCATCCCTGGGAGTTTACGGTTACAAAATGAATTTTCTTCGTAGAACTTTATTTAAATCAAGTAGTTGCTATAATTTTTTGAATGGAAAAGCTAACAACATACAAAATTCGTTTCAACTTGGTTTCCAGTTAGTATTAATAATATAATAAATAATTGATTAAAAAAAAAAAAATTTAAATTGATCTCTTTTTTTGCAAATGAAAAAAAAAAAAAAGTACATCACCTGAATCACCAATACCAGAACAAATACTAAGAACATCGTTATCATATATTAATCAATATGGATGGACAATTAATACATTATCACAAGGAGCCAAATCTTTAGGATATTCATCAGTTGCACATGGATTATTTCCAAGAGGGGGAGTAGAATTGATTGATTTTTTCTTGGAGGATAGTCGACAAAAAATGATTTGCGAAATAAAGGATAAGGTGAACGAAGAGGGGTAATTAAAATAAATAAATAAATAAATAAATAAATTATATATCGAGTAAAGAAAAAATCAAGTGAATTATTTATCATAGTTTAAAAATACCTCAGAAAATTCGTTTGGCTTGTATAACAAGATTAAATCTAACGAAACCTTACATCAAGAAATGGCCAGAGGTAATCGATTGTGATTAATATTATATAACAATAATATTAATAATAACAAGTAAAATAATACTAATACTAATTAACACATTTGTTTTTTTTTGTGCAGGCTCTTGCAATTATGTCACAACCAAATAATTTTTACATGTCATTTCTACATCTTGCTAAATTAGTTGATGATATTTGGTATCTCGCTGGTGACAAAAGTGCTGATGTTTGTATTTATTAATAAGATATTATTGTTTTTACAAGATAGTAGTTAAGAATAAATTAACTGATTAACTTCTAACTTATTATTACATGAAAGAGAAATTTACAATGTATTTATACATGTTAAAGGTTCTATCATCTAGTTATCCAACTTTGTTGAAATCCTATTTTATACTAATTAATATATTCCTTAATTATTATTTAGACCTTCCATTTAGAATTATTTTCAAGTAATTTCTAGTCATCATGAGTCATGTAAAATTCTTTCATTTAAATATTTTTCTGAGACTTTGTAATCTGTTACACTTTAGAATGTTGGAATATTTATATCTCCAATATTTGGGTTATTTTCCGAGAGCTATTTATTTGATTGGTGCGCCTTATTAATTAGTGTAACATTTATTAAATTGTACTGGTTTATTTCTTGTTGAGTTATTCCGTGATAATCGTTTCCAAATTTTCACTTCGTGATACATGTAAATCATTTCCGATTTATATGCTCGTTCCCGTGATTTATAATTTACTATTTTACAGTAGGCTTCTGCCGTTTTTCTTATAATATATTACTGCACTTACCTACCCCGAAAGCATGTCATCAAATATATATCCGAAAACATATCATTAGAAGGGTAGGTAACTGCCATAATTCTTATAATATATTACCGCACTTACCTACCCTGAATACATACCCAGAGTATATACCCATAACATACCATTGAACAGGTAGGCTTCTGCCGTTTTTCTTATAATATACTACCACACTTACCTACCCTGAATACATACCTGAAAACATGTCATTAAAAAGTGTAGTAATAATTCTCATAATATATTACTGCAGGTTACTACACCTAGGCCCAAAAATATTTATCTATCGAGTTCACAATTTTTGTTGTCCATTCGACTAAAAACGATGCATTTTTTTGATATCACTGACCGAAAAAAATAATTTAAACTTTTCCAAACTATTATGTAATAATATAATAGAACAAAGATTGATACATACCAATAAAAAATGAGCAAACAAAACGCACAAGTGATCGGGTACGGGGGCGGGGAAACTTTAGCTGGGATTCCAACTCGCAATGATATCATTTCGAAATGTGATAATAGGTCAACGGCTATACTTCAACAAAGCTTATCCGATAAACAGCCTATATACTTCATGCCTAATGATGTGAGTGATGCCACTGAGTATGTAAAAAATGTATCGACATATATTCTACGTATTTACGGCACTTTAACTAATGGACAAAAAGCTAGGGTGGACATTACAGGTATTAAACCTTTCTTCGATGTCGCCGTGCCTGATAGTGAACCTTTATCTGTATTCAAATCAAGATTGGTGAAAATTATATCAGGGACAGAAAAAATTGACAAATCAAAGTTTGGAATGAATATTGTCTATGCATACCCAATTCGTGGTTATCATACTGAGAAAAAGATGTACACTTCCTGGTCATAAATATAAGGACACTTGCAGATCATCAGAAATAATTGAATAAAGAAACATGAAAAAAAATAAAAATTTTATTAACCTAACCGCATTTGCTTATTAAGTAAAAAT